TGTGTGTGTGTGTGTGTGTGTGTGTGTGTGTGTGTGTGTGTGTGTAATGTGCAAGAAGTTGGAATTGGAAAATAAAAGGGAAGACTTTGATTTTGAAATAACTGAAAAGAAAATTCAAGCCTTGAGTTGTAATATAGAGAGATGCTGTAGGCAAAATCTTGAAAGATTCAGAAAGCATCAAAATAAGATAGCGGGAATCTACAGTCACTGTACCATTCTTTTGGCAGTTTCTGTTTATATTTTCCAATAATCTCCTCATCCTGTTGAATGAGACAAATGAGAACAAATATGGGTTTCTTAGTGAGTTGTCTAGATAGTTATCCTCCTAATTTCCTGGTATAGCCTGAAAAGCATGTCCAGGACTGCATCTGTTAGATGAAACATGTTGAATGGGTCCCAGTTTTGGTATACTTATTTTTCACTAGTGCTTTCAATATAGCTTGAGTGTTTTTCTTCATTATCATTGACCATTCATCATATGGTACTTCTTGAAATATTGTAGTGTCAACTAATCACTGTACCATTGCTTCAGTCACTGTGTCAATGGGGCTCTTCCTCTCTTTCACTGACCCTCTACCCTTCCAAGAACAGTATCATTATCCAAGGAATCATATCTCCTAGCAACATGTCCAAAGAATAGGAGATGAAGACAACCTTGCTGCCAAGGAGCTCTCTGGATGCACCTTTTCTAAAGCATACCTGTTCATTCTTTTGGGATATTTAGTACTCTTCCCCAACACCACAACTGAGAAGTATTCGTCTGTCATTTTATTTATTGTCTAGCCTGAAGATGAATCATTAATCACGGAAATGATCATGGTCTGAACCCAGCACATCTTAGTCTTCAAACTGACATCACTCTTCTTCAATATTTTGGAGAGGTTTCTAACAGTAGACTTGCCCAAAAGAGTACATCTCCTTATCTCCTAACTACTGCTATCAAGGGTGTTGATTGTGGGCCCAAGGAAGACTAAATCATTAAGCTTCAATCCTTTCTCCACCTATCATGAGGTTACCCATTGGCTCAACAGTAAGGACCTTTGTTTTCTTGATAGTAAGTTACAATTCATATTGAAGGATGAGGAAGATCAAAGACTACAACCTTTCACATGGATTACATCTTAAGATCAATGTCCTTACCACTAAGTGAATAAACAACCTCACGATAAATGGAGAAAAGAATTGAAATTGTCAACAGTTTCATCTTACTTGGATGCTCAATCAACATGATTGATCTTAGCAGTCAGAGGATCAGGAGAGGTACTGCATTGAGAAAGTCTGCTATCAGGAATGTCTCCAAAGTTCTAAGGAGCAATAATGTCAGTTTGAAAACTGAAGTGTAGCTGATTCATGCTATGGTCTTTTCAATCACTTAATATGCATCTGAGAGCTGGACAATGAAAAAGCATTACTGAAGAAAAGAGATGTCTTTGAGTTGTGGTGTTGGATAAGAGTACTGAGCTTTCCAGGGACTGTCAAAAAGAACAAAGATAAAATCTTCAAGAGTGTACAGTGACTGCTCCTTAGAGGCAAAGATGGAGAAGCTTCATCTCACATACTTTGGTTGTGTGTTTAAGAGAGGGTTTTTCTTGGAAAGGGACGTTATGCCTGGAAGGTGGAAGGCCAGCAAAGGAGAGGAAAATTTTTAATGAAATAGATTGACATAGTGACTGAAAGAATGGGTTTAAGTACATCAGAGATAATGTGGATGGCACAGGATAGGACAGGGTTCAGATCTGTTGTTCACAGAGTTGCAGTGAGTCATACTCAACTCTATGGCACATAACAAGAGCATACCCATATATCTCGACATTTAACTAAATGATAATGTGAACCCTAAGATAGCAGTTTATAATGATAAAAGTCATGAAACGGATTTGGGTTAAATCAAAGGTGCTTAAAACCAGAAAATATCTTGTGGTGAAGTCAGCTCCTTCTTGTGGCCTCTTGTTTGGTTTTTCAGAGAAGCAGATCAAAAGATTTCCTCCCTCACACCTTAATGTATTAATTTTGACCTAATTTTCTAAATGAATGTTTGCTATTTTGTCCAAGTTATTGGATTTTCCTAAGTAAACTGTAAATAACTTAGATTTTATACTTTTTCATCTGGTAACACATTTATCACAAGGCTAAAGTTGGCCTTGTGGTAGGTATGTACCTTGCAGACCTTGATCAGTGACTATGCATATAAAATGTTTGTGACAACACAATTCCTTACCCACTCGGTCACCAAAGCTCCAGGGAGATTTCTACAAAAGTAGGTTTGTTCTTATTTCAGTGCTTTCTAAAATATATAGTGTTATCTTCTATGTGACTATATTAAAACCATTTCAATAACTATGTGATAAATCTTAACTGAACTTTCAAGCTCAGAACTGAAATTTTTCCAAGTAAAGGAGAAAATACATTTTTTTTTAAAGGGAGAGTTAGGAATCGTTCAGCTCTACAGTAATCTCCTCCTGCATCCTATGATTCCTGGTGGTTCCCTGAAGCTACTTACCAACAGGTATTGTCCGCCCCTGGATCTTGTCAGCCCAGCCTGCGCAGTAACGTAAGGCTTTGATGCAGTAGTCTAGGTCCATCAGATATGCACTGGCAAATACTTTTCCAGCATTTATTGACTCCAGTGTCTGAAAAATATATAAAACCCCAAATCTAAGTGTCTATAAGAATTCTACATTATAGAATATATATTAACATATATTTCTTTTTATGTATTTTAATATTATTCATATACAAATAATATAAATATTATATAAAGAATATATATATGCCAAACCAAAGACATTGTCAAAAAGTGGACTCAGGTACATGGATGCTCAACAGGCCAGAGCAGAATCATCTCATGATAGGAAGTGTACAAGGGTACACTTCCTAACAGTGGCACGCACCACACCATCATTATTCCTCTTAGTTCCAACCACCAAGTGTCTTTGCCATTGTGTCACCTCGAAACTTGCTGGGTATGTGTAACTTCAAGTTTGATGCAGACAGGCATTTAATCTTTAGAAGACCCTGTTAATCAATTTTATCATCTTCTTGTTGTGTATTTCTGGCTATATTTTGTCAGCCTTTTCATATCACGGGCTAGGTGTTGTAATCTTGGCTTTACTTTGTCTCTTACAATCTTTATGGTTTGGGGATTTACCCATAGGTCCCTGGCCCACCTTGCGTTGATTTCTGTATATGGTGAGAGGTGTACATTCTGCTTCAGCTTTCTACAGGTGGTATCTCCAAGTCTGAATAGTCATCTGCTATAGAATTTTGAAAGTATACCTGGCTTGTCTGCTAACTGCACAGTCTAGAATTAAAAGACACCAGCTGCTCTGTGGCAGAAATATATGGCATTCTACTTCCTTAAAGACTAAAACAGAGCAAACACACAAGAACAGTTCTGTTGAGTCAATTCCAACTCAGAGTGACCATACAAAACACTGTAGAACTATAATTTAGAGTTTTCAATCAAGACTATAATGTTTTTATAAACACTGCCACATCTTTCTCCCTCAAAACAGCTGAAAGGTTTGAACTCTAGGCCTTTTAATTGGTGGCCAAAGGTTTTAGCCAGTACATCAACAGTGCTTGTAGCATAGAGTTTACTACCTTAGAAATCCTGTAATAGAACGGATTGCCTTGGAATTGAAACCAACTCAAAGCTGACCCTCCAGTGGTTTTTCACAAGAAAGTATTGCCAGCTTTCTCCCATGGGAGCCACTAGTGGACTCTAACTTCCAAAATGGGGCCACCATTGAGTTAGCACCACAATTCCCTACTAAATTAGGCCACCGGAATTCCCTATGGAGAAGTGTTTATCTTAGAAGAGTTGCTATTAGTAGAAATCTACTCAATGGCAGCTCACTGGACTTGGTATATTTCTGTGTTTATAAAATTTTGAATAAGAAAACAATTCATAAGTCATCTTGTCTAGCTCCTTCTAAAAAATTTAAAAAACAAACAAACAAAAAAACCCCAACTGGAAAACAATAACACTAAAAGCAGGTAGAAAGAGTATTTCAATACTGGATTCCAAGCCATAATGCTCCTTCTACCACATTGTGCATGAACTCCAGACAACCGACTTTCCAGGCACTGTTTGCAGTCTGAGAACGACTGATCAGAATGATACCAAGTTTCCTTGGTCAGATCAGAGTTCCAGCAGGGTTTCATTTTTCATATAATCCAACTGATGAGGAATTTTAATGCCAGTGACTATTAATGATACTTCAGTAACTATTTGTAAGTTTGTATCCTATCTGGGTATAATTGATTTAGTCACACAAACTTTAATAATTTACAGACTTTAATCCATGATGCTCAGATTGGAAACTGGAAATGAACTGAAACGTTCTAGAATTTTTATGAATATATACATTGTTCTGTACTCAAAAATTTTCTTTAGTAAAATTACTCTCTCTCTCTCTCTCTGTGTGTGTGTGTGTTGATGTTTTTAACTGTGAACTCTCCGTATTAATACTATTGCTATGATAATGATGATGGTAATAATAATAATCTAAATGACTAGGCTGTAAAATTAATCCTTTTCTAATCTGGTGTCCTCACCATTGTAGAAAATTCAATCTGCTTTCATTAAGCAGAATGTTAAAGACCTCTTTGGAACCTAATGGTCTGCTAGGGAAGTTATCAGACCATAATGTCAAGTGATAGAATATTTGGTTATACCATCTGCTGTCTCTATATTATACAGCTGTGACCCATTTCAAAGAGTAATCAAATGGGATCTCAGTATGTCTGCTATCTTTTTTTTTAAACACGCTTACAGAGGCAGTCAATGTCTTATAATCCATGGATTAGATCAATGCAAAAAGGCGAGATTTACCAACTCCTGCTCTCTTCCTATAGGTTAATATAGCTTTTGTTTATTTTTTTAAATTAAGTTAATATAGTTTACTGCATATAACTTCTGAAGCTATGCATATGAGACTTTGGTTTATGCTGAATCTTTGGAAAAGAAACAGTATTTTAATTATATTGATTGATTTTTTTAAATAGACTTTTTCTTACTGCTGATTTAAGATTCTAAAGATAATAAAATTTTTATTCTTAAACCTTACTGTGGTATTTCTTTGTATTAAACTGATTTTACTATAATTTAAAACTGAAAAAAAATATCTCTTATACTTAATGGTAACTTATTAATGTGTCATTTGCTATTATATATATATATATATATATATTAATAACTTTTAAAAGTGAATATGTAATTGGATTTTTCTTTGTTCTTCAACTTTTTTATAGTTGCAAAAAGATATTCATTTTAAGCACCTAGACACATTTCAGGAAGGGGAAAAATGATCCATTACTTAGTGTTTTAGTGCTCTATAATTATGAAATATATGTGTATTTTTTAAAAAGTTCTGGGAACTTAAACTCCATGAGATTTCTCACTAAAAGAGACCAGTGATCACGAGACAGTCAGTGTATCAATATAAGTTTCATACTGCATGCGACCTTGCTAATTAATGGCTGTGAGAGTAAAGGGGGAAAACAGTGTTTTAACTAAGATTTGTGCTGTAGAATCTATAATGGAAACAATAACTCCATCGTCCAGAAACGGAGTGCAGATTATTGTGGGAGAGAAAGTTCATTGTTACCACTGTTGTGCACACTCCCAAAGAGAAAATTGTTTGTTGTATTGGTAAAGTAGTTGTAGTAATGACTGAAACGGAACAAATTTCCATTTCAGACAATCTGTGTTCTCCAGAGTTCTTACTACATGCCCAATTTGGCCAATACTCACCGCCAATAGCAAGCGGTCTCTCTCAATTAAATCAGCCAACTTGTATATCAGCTGTCCCCTTTCGGAAGCGTCCATGGTACGCCACGGCGATCCCATCTGAAAAGCTTCTCTTGCAGCCTTCACTGCTTTGTCAACATCTTCCTGCAAAAACAAGTTTATGTCAGTTCAAGAGCCTAAACACAGCATGCAATCCAATGACAACAATTCTATCAAATAGACAAAAACTTCTTGTAAGTGGGCACAATGTCTTCATTAGATCAAAATTTAGCACATTTGTGTACTCAGTGTGTTGATATTAAGTCTATTGCCTTCCTTCTAGAATGAAATGCTAAAGTGATGTATTGCATAATTGCTTTCTTAGAACAGAAATAATTATGATAGCTAATATAATTGGACTGTTATGTGTTCACTAATTTTTTTTTTGTGTTCACTAATGTTTTAATATCTTTATCTACATTAGCTCTTCTAATACTCAATAAATTTAGCAAAGTGTATGTTGCCATTTTATAGATTAAGAGAATAAAGCAAAGGGAGGAAGTTGATTTGAGCAAGGTTAGTAGCTCAAGATGGCAGAGCTGAGTTCAGCCCTTGCTCTTTATCACCACAATGTAGTCTTTGGCGATTGGGTTCTTGAGAATTGCAGATCTCACCCACTGAAACTTATTGTTTGCATTTTTCCTATCCTGTCCTAGTGTGTTCCAATTTTTTTAACCTATATTTCCATAATTCTCCTTTATTAAAAGGGTTCTTGGTTGACCAAGTTGGTTGTTGTTATTGTGTTGTGTACCGTAGAGTCGAAACAGACCCATAGGTGACCCCGGCACTTTTGCCCTATAATGTTTAAAGCTTTCCTGTTTTTTAAGAGAAGCAATATTTGAATATATGAAATGAGTCAAAATGATAATGAAACATCAAGTACTTCATAAACATAGTTAAGAAAGACTGTGCATTTCCATACTAAATGATTTAAAAGTGGAGAAAGTTACTAGTTAATTTCTACTTTTGCAGCCACCTTATTTTTCTAAGCATTTCATTTTATCTTTAGTAATCATTTGTTAGAATATGGACTAATGTTAAAAGAAGTGCTCAGGATTAGTTAGTACAGCCTTAAAGAATTATTCAAGTGAAAACAGTTTCCACTCATATCAATGCTTTGCTTTGTATCCTTTATTTGTTCTTGCCCCTCCTCCTTTATTTATAATACCACTGGCACCATTTTACTCATAAATTAATTTGGGACTCATTATCTAAAGAATATTAATTTCTCAGTAGCTATAAAAATTTACTAAATTTTTATTATTCACTAATATTTTTGGACATAAATGTACATTTATTAGTAATATTGTGAGAACAACAAAGATTATTTAAAAGAAAAGTTCATAGATTGTTCCATGAGGTAAAAGCTAGAAGAAAAGTGAAGCATTGCTTTCTGTGGGCATTTAACGCAATGAGGTTCTTATCTTGACTCATTAGTATATTAGTGTTAGTTGCTGTAGGGTAAGGCTTTGGACATGTTTCGAGGAGAGGCTATTTCTTGGAGAGGGACATTATGCTTGGGAAGGTAGGAGGATAGTGAAAGAGAGGAAGACCCTCAACAAGATGGATTGACACAGTGACAGCAGCAATGGGCTCAAAAGATGTGTCTGAGATTATGAGGACAGCACAGATGAGCACCATTCTGATCTGTTGTTCAGAGTGTCACTGAGTCCTACTCAACTCAAAGGCACCCAACCAAGGCAAAAACCAACACTGTAATTCAAAAGCTTGAACTCTTTGGTCTTCTTTATTCATTCCCTAATTTTCCTATGCATATGAAACAATTGAAAACAACCTGGTTTGGGCCAAGTCCAACTTAATGTTTTTAGAGAGGAGACCTAGGGAAGAAGAGGCTTTGTAAATATGTTTGAAATCCTAGAGAGGGATGAGGGAGATTCTGCAGGTGCCTCCTGCTCTGAAAAGCCAGGAAGGCTGTAATTCTGTGAAAATGTTTCTTTTACTACTGGGCTCTAGAAGCTGTGACATTGTGAAAGTATGACCTTATCTGGGAAGCCAAGACACGAACTATGTATAATCTGAAAAACTAATGCTGATGCTTTAAAACCATGAATGAGAGAATAGCAGAATTGCTTCTTTATCTGTTTCCTGTAAAAAACCCTGAACAAAGTAGTTTGGGGAGCCCAAGCATTCTGTATTTGAATTCCTGCTAGCACAATAAACTTCTTCTTACTAAAGAGGTATTCATGCTGATTTACTCCTGATGTGTCTTCCCTGGTCTCATCTGCCGGCAACAGTTTAAAGAGATATCTTTGTCTTTAGCACTTTTAAGAAGTTCTTGATAATCTACTTGCCTAATACAATAAGTCATTTGATTTCTTAATTGTTGTTTCCCTGAGAGTTGATTGTAGACTCAAGAGAAATGAAATTGACAACTTCAAACTTTTCTCCATTAATATAATTAAAGGTCAGAATTTACAACACATAGGATGCTGATGTCAGATTACTAATTGAATATAATGGTATCAAATCACTGAGGAGAGGATAGTTTCGTTTCCAGTGCTATTACTGAAATTATCACAAGTGGGATATCTTTAAAAACAGAAAAAATAGTCTTGCACAGTTTAAGACTCTTAATTCAAGGTGCTGATTATAGAGACTTTCTCTGTCAGTTCTGGAGGAAAGCTCTTAACTCCTTTCAACATTGGGAACAGCATTCCTTGATATTCCTTGGTCTTCTTCTCTTGTTGGGAAGGAGTTTCACAGTGCGAAGACTGAGTCCAAAGAATGTGTATTCACACTAGCTTTTCATTATTGATGTTACTGAAATCCCTTTCTTTGACAAAAAATGGTGCAGCTCACACACCAGGAATATTTCCCTCACATTGATAGAGTGGTATTAATAAGTTCAAAATTATTAAAATATATGGTATAGTTGTAAAAAGTTGTAAATCTCCTATCATGTACCAAAAAAAAACAAACAAAAAAAATCACCAAACTCCTATCAGTCTGCAAAACTGGTTGGACTGCCAATTAACATTTGCTTTGCCTTAGAATCCTGTTTCAATTTCTCTGCTGTCATATAAAGTAATTTAAAGTGTCTATCAGGAAGGATATGGATCTTTCCTGGATTAGCATTTACTTTTTTAAACTAAGTCACATGTAAATTATATTATGTATTGCCTTTTTACTAGTAATTGTTTGTAAATTTTTATTTTTGAATATAAAAATCCTAGCAATAACACGTTAGGTAGCTTAACACCTAAACCAAGTATAAAAACCGGTGATAGGAGACTAGAGCGAGGGCTGCATGGTGGAGGGGACCTGGGGGAGGGTTTGTAAAACAATGAAAGAATCTTTTCTTTTACTTTTCCATAATTTT